GAGTACCCAGTAGGGAGGCAGAGGCAGGAGAATCTCTGTGAGTTCAAGGTCAGCCCGGTCTACAGAATGAGTTCCAGGATAGGCAAGGCTACCTACCGAGAGAAACCCTTGTCTCAGGAAACCAAAACCAAATCAAATCAAACCAAGCCAAACAAAACCAAACGAAATAAAACAAAAAACAACCAAAAAAACCCCATCAAAACAACGCATACAAACAAAAACAAAAGCTGGGGTAACACTTCATTTTGAAAAATTGCTTAAATAGTAAAAGAGAGTCAGGCATGGTGGTGAAAACCTTTAATCCTAGAACTCAGGGGGCAGAGGCAGGCAGATCTCTGAGTTCAAGGCAGCCTGATCTACAAAGCAAGTTCCTGGGCAGCCAGGGAGGTTATGTAGAAGCTCGCCTTGAAAAACAAACAAACAAACGAGTAAGTGAGCCAGCTGTTGTGGACAGTGAGTCAGAAGAGAGTCAGACAAAGGAAACTATCTGGCTTTTCTATACTTTCAAGGTGTGCTGGAAGTTTTACACCGCATGATTTAGTCTGCTATAGAAGGAGCCTGGAGGGGTCAGGAACTGGGAAGGACAATAAATCAGCACAGCTGGGTGTAACTCTCTGGGGGGAATGGTTCGGTGTGTAAGATCGTGTGTATCACAAGTATTGAAGACCTGAGTTCAAATCCCAGCATCACATGGTGTGACTGCATGTCTTTGCAGCCTCAGGGCTACTGTGGGCAAATACAGGGGCACTGTCTGGGGTTTGCTGGCTGCCAGTCTAGCTCAAGGATCAGGGCGAGATCCAGCCCCAAAAGAGTAAGAGTAAGATGGAACGGATGTTGTTCATGATTATTCCCAGGGGCGAGGTGAACACCCTCTACCCTCTCCTCCTTCTGTGGCTCCAAAGACAAACCAAGGAACGATTCCCTCATGGTTCACCCTGCTGAACCAGTGATTTTATTAGACTCACAGAGCAATGCGTGAGAGTGTATGGACAGGAGTGTGGGTGACCTTAGAGCAAACTTACTGAGTGGTCTGCACCCAGTAGGGATGATGAAGCTCCATGGCTGTGCTTCCCCCATCTATATACTCTGGCTCCTCCCAGAGACCCTGTGATCTCATTCAGCGAGTGCAGAATTGCATATGTAACTGGTTGGGAGGGGTAGCTGGATACTCAGGTAAGGGTCCCATGACTCCCTTGGTCCCTTCCTGAAAGGGAACATCAACAGTCAGTAAACCCAGTAGTGATGATCTTTATTGATCAGGCCCAGCTGAGCTCCTGAAGATGGTGTCTCTGAGGATAGTCCTCTCCATGAGCAGCACACCAGACGCCTTCCCCCAGCTTCTTCTCAGGCGTGGGCACTTCCACCTGCACACACATGTGCATATATGCTGTGCGCAAGCACACATACACACACATGCACACACATACACACAAATAGTAATAAAAATGGCAAAATTTAAAAAAAAAGTCAGGGCAGGGTCTCACTGTGTAGCCCCTGGCTACACTGGAACACTCCATGTAGATCAGGTTGACCTCAAAAATCACAGAGGTCCACCTGCCTCTGCTTCCTAAGGGCTGGGATTGGAGGTATTCTTCATCTAAAATATAAAGATAATAAACTAGCCTTCTGAAACGCAATAGGGTTCAAAGCACTTTACGAGCAGTCTCATCAGGCAGTTTGTGCGGATAGGAAACAGAAGTGACAGCCGGGTGGTGGTGGCGCACACCTTTAATCCCAGCACTCAGGAGTCAGAAGCAGGTGGATCTTTGTGAGTTTGAAGCCAGCCTGGTCTACAGGGTGAGTTCCAGGACAGCTAGCATCTGTTACACAAAGAAACCCTGTATCGAAGAAACAAAACAAAAGTACAAAATTCAGAGATAGCTTATGTTCCCTGCAGGTGTGAGTGTCTGTCTGTCTGTCTGTCTGTCTGTCTATCTCTCTCTTCTCTGGGTCCACCTCCATCCCATGTGCATGCCTCTGTCTCTCTATGTGGGGGAGGAGGGCTGCAAACCATTCTATGGGTTATTCACTAGAAATGTGCTTATTAGTAGATCAGTTTATCTAGTTGATTGCCCCAGTCACTCCTCTTGGGTCATTTTCTGAGTGTTAGTATTTTCTGGGCCTTGACCTAGACACTAGGGTTGTCATTTAAGGCTAATCATATTCCTGAAACTTTTATGCCTGACTTTGGGAAGTCTCTGGCAGCTCTCTCTTGCCCCACTCTCGGGTAAGAGGCATAATTAAGTCATCTCACAATTTTAAGGCCCCGCAGATGAAAGGATTCGGCGAACTTGACTCCGTCTCTTAATCCAGCTGTGTACTTTTCCAGCTTCCAAGCCCAGCGCTCAGTCCCTGTAATGAAGTCATCTCCTCTAGAAGATGGACGAAGGCCAGGTTCGGGATATAACTGAGCCAGTGGACCATTTGCCTAAAGTGCCTGAATCTCCGGGTTTGATTGCCAGCACTGCAAACATTGACTGTGCTGGGGCACACCTGTAACCCCAGCTCTTGAGAGGTACGGGTCATCCTCAGCTGGGTAGCAAGTTCACGGGCAGCCTGCAGTACAGAGGATCTTGTCCATAAATAAATAAATAAATAAATAAATAAATAAATAAATAAATAAACCACGTGGAAGGTGCTAGAACAGGCAGGCCTTTGAAAGGGGATACAAAGACTGTTAATGATTACCTAGAAGAGAATTCTGTGCTCCATCCGGTCGACGCAGTGCTGAAGCTGGCAGATTCCTCTCCTCTCAGGGTTCTCAGGAACTTTTCTGTGCCGACTGTTCCATCATGGCTGCTCTGGTGTGGGATAACTGTTCTCTCAGTGTCCTCCAAGACGCATTTGGAAGGTGTGTTACCAGATGCCCATCAAGGCCCTTTATCTTAGCTAAATGGCACAAACGTTGGATCAATTTCGTGTCACATGTAGTTTGTGTGCCAGTCTTTCTTTCTTTCTTTTTCTCTTAATTATATGCTTGTGATTCTCTGGTGGGTGGGCCAAAACCTTACCTAACCTGGATACATGATTTGCAAAACCACATATCTTATTAATGCTTTGGACAATAATGGGCAGAAGGCGCAAATGGGCTGTTTTGCAGGGAGATAATCCACAGGGAATCCCAGAGGGAACTCTTCAGGGGAGAAGGGTGAACTAAATGAATCTTAGGAACAATAGCACTAATAAAGCGGATTTCTGTGAAAACCTTAAAAAGCATAATTGACATTTTGAAGACTGCTGTCCCCCACACGACTGTCAGGACTCAAGAGTGACAGGGCTGAGTGGTCCTGTGCAGAGGTGTCCAACATCTGTCACTCTGAAGATCATTAATGTTCAATCGCATCCCATTGTCTTCAAGTTGTTCGACTTCATTTTGCTGTCAGTGCTTCAGCCGGGGATTAATAAACTATTTATGGGTGGGAGGGCAGGGCTTGAAGTCTGGGTGATGATGGTATTGAGTTGTAGTCTGAGGTGCTGGAGGGGGGAACAAGTCCAAGTTAAAAGGCTCTTGATTTGTGTGAGCTTGTAGATGATTTAACCGAACAAAAATATCTGAGAAGATTGCCGACATACTCATGTTTCAAAAGGAGAGAGAGCTTACTCTGCCCTTCCTGAGATATCCAGAAGGGACTGCTGGATTGGAACCATTTGGAGACTGTTTCTTTGCTTCTTGATTCCTTTGGAACACAAGAAACAAGTTGGGATGAGAGAAAGAAAATTACAGGTTTCTCTGTAAATCTAATAATTGTCCATGGTGGATTCATGTTTTGTTACTGTTCTTGAGGACAGACAACATACTAGAATATTGAGATCCATTAAGAACTATTTCTGAAACTCACAAATTACTTAGATGGTTCCATTTTGCACATGAAGATACTTTATTGCACTTAAATGCTAAGTAATGAGGTGATTGCTTATTGTTTCAGTGTGTGCCCCACAAACATCAGGGAGCAAGGAAATGGAATAGAGATGCTGAATTAATCTGCCAAGGTCTTGGAACCTGGGAAAGTCAATCACATGATTAGAAAATAGTACATTAGAAAATAGATACATTCGTTATCTTTGACTATGCTGCAAATGGTTTCATTGAAACCTATTTGCAGAGTCCCATTCCAGGCCTGTAAGAATATCAGGACTTCCCAATTTGTCTGAATTGATTTAGTCAGTTAAGTGAAAATGTGAATATTTTGCAATGTAAAATTGCCACTTCTCAACAAAGCAAAACCTTGCTAGACTTCAGATACACCTCACAATGTCAAAACCAACATCTTCACACAAATGATTTCTACTTAAGCATTTAAAACCCCAGGCTTTATTTTTGATATGTAAGCTGCCCGCTGGTATGGGAGAAGACGGGCCACGCTCTCCCTCCACCCCCACCTTGTTATTCTATTGGGAACAGCCAGGCCAGGCCACTCCAGATGGTGTGTTAGCGTTGGACATAGCTTTGGAGAAACTTCAACAGACGAAGGCAGTAATGTCAGGATTTTGCTGTGCGTCGCCCTCCCTCCCCCCTGCAGTTCCCAGGGTAGGAAGGTGCTGAGATGGAAGCGGAGGGACGCCCGCCCACCTGCCACCACCTGTTCCCTCCTTGAGCCCTAGGCTATAAATTCTCCTCCCTCACCGCTTCATCCAGCGCTCTCCGACTTCTAGACATCTATGGGGAGGGGTCCGAGCGGTCTGCTAAGGTTTCATCACCCCGAAAAGCAGTCTCAGGCTGTTCCAGAAAACTGGAAGGGCCTTCTCTCCCACTCGCAGAACCACCCGCAGCAAACAGCAAGGAAGTTTCCTTCTCTTTCAACTTCATGTGGTTGGGGGGGGGGAAATGACATTTCCCTGAGCATCCCTTCCAACTGCATCTGAGCAAGGGAAGCGACATCAGCCTGGCTACCGAGCAGCACAGAAGCCAGGATCCCACACTGCCCACTGTGCAGACTGCACGTGAGTCACTACGTCTGTGACTTATTCTCTCCCGGGAGCCAAGTAAAGCGGCAGCGTGGATGAAGTCGGCCTGCAAACCCCATGGCTCTCCGGCGGGAGCGCGCGGCGCGCCTCCGTGCGCGGTTGCGGCCGAGCGCCCCG